CCACCCACCACCCATCTGGATTGGGCAGAGCAGGTCCTCAGTCAGCTAGGTCCATCTGGGGCTTGTCCCTGAGGTCGCTGCCATCTGCTGGTAGGACTGAGTATTGCAGGCAGGGGTTCCCTTCCAGACCCTTTGGGAGGACTCAGCCCCCATCTCCTGTCTCCCGCTTGTCCCCAAAGCCTGGGAGGAAGGGGGGAAGTGTGGCCAGTTTCACACCCAAAGAAAGACTTTCAGACATGGCTGTGACAAGGAATTGCATTGAGATATAATCTTCCGACCATACAGTGCACCCATGGAGGGCGCACAACTCATTGGGTTTATATTCAGAGCCTCATTCAGCAGCATCATATCCGTGTTAGAACATTCTCATCATTGCCATTGTCAGTCTCCCTGCAGCCCCTGGCAACCCCCAACCCCCTTTCTGTCTCCATGGATTTCCCAATTCTGGACATTTTATAAAAACAGAATCATTGAGCAGGAGGCCTTTGGTGCCGGACGGCCTTCAGTCAGCATGTTTTCAGGTTCGTCGTGTGGCACGCTTGTGGCCGGGGAATGGTGCCTGGAGGGAGCACTCAGCTGCTCTGCTCGCAGTGATGGACAGCTGTCTTCACTCTCGGGCCGCTGTGCATGGTGCTGCCATGAGCACGCGTGCGCAGGTTTTTGCGTGGACATGGTTCCCGTTCTCATGGGCATGTGCCCAGGAGTGGCATTGCTGGGTAACATTTTGCAAAACTTCCATGCTGTTTCCGGAAACGGCTGCACCACTGTGTGGCCCCTCTCCCTGCCGTCCCCTGTCCCACCTGCCCTGGGTATCATGTAGGTGGTGGTGCAAGTGTTGGAGCCCGAGTGACCTTGGGACCATCCCCGACATGCCCCTCGTTGGCTGTGAGACCTTAAGAAAACGGTTTGATCTTTCTGTGCCTGCCTTCTCACCTATACAGGGTAATGGCAGGAAGTCACAGATACCCTCCGTGTGTCTGCCCACATCCCAGGGCCCTCGCGGTCCAATGCACGTGGACCCCAGAGCTTCCCACCACAGGGCCCGTTCTTGCCCCAGGGGAATGGGCCTGGGGTTCGAGGAGGGACTGTCTCTATGAACAAGCCTCCACCAAAGGCAGGTGTGGTTTGGAGAGTAAACAGGCCAGGTGCTGCCCCCCCACCCCCGCCCCAAGGTGGGTGATTGGTGGACACCTGCAGTGACTGTACAATTAACCAGATAATTATAGATCGCGTTGGGATCTGCAAACAAAATAACAAAGCATTGTGAGGGAAAAAAAATCGAGGGGACCCGATTTTGACAGGACAGTCACAGGTCTCTCTGAGGAGGGGCTCTGAGAGGTGGAGGTGGAGAAGCAGCCGACCGGGTGATGAGTAGAGGGCAGAATGGCCCGGTAGGGGCATGTGCAGATGTCCTGGGGCAGAGCAGGGCTTGGGAGGGGGAGGCAGGGGTGCCTGGCGGAGAGGCCACTCCTGGAAAAATCACTGAGGCTGGCCAAGTGCTTGGAGGGCCTGCCTGCTCTCCTGAGATAAGAGATGGAGCATTCACAGGAACTTGGGGTGAGAAACATGGAGGAAGGAGGTCAAAGAGGAAGGTCTTATAAAGAAACAGGAAGCCCATCCTAAGGACCGAAGAGCCAGGGCAGGTTTCTCTGACAGCCCCTCCTCCTCACATATTCAGCCAGCGTCCCCAGGGCTCAGGGAGGGCCGTCTTCCTGGGAGAGCCCAGGAGGCCCACCTCGCTGGGTCTGGCGAGATGCTCTGTTCTCTGAGGGCATGGTGGGCAAGGGGTCATCAAGCCTGTGCCAGCCCCATGGAGACCCTAACTCCAAGGCCTGTGACCCTATACACCTCTCACCTCGAAGCCAGTTCTGTCTCTGCCCCATCTCCCCTGACCTTGTCCCCAGCCCTTCAGCCTGGCCCTTCCCATGTCCTGGGTCTGCTCTGAGTGCAGATGAGGATGTTGTCAGATTGTCATCAGGGTGGGGCTGGCTGGCCACAGGCACTGGTTCTCAAGAACAGGGGCTTGAGCCCAGCCAGTGTGGCTCAGTGGTTGAGTGTCAACCTATCAAGCAGGGAACCAGGAAGTCATGGTCGGATTCCCGGTCAGGGCACCCGCCCAGGTTTCAGCTTCGATCACCAGTAGGGGTAGTGTAGGAGGCAGCTGCTCAGTGATTCTCTCTCAGCATTGATATTTCTATCTCTCCCTCCCTCTGCCTTCCTCTCTGATATCAATACAAATGTATTTTAAAAATCAAATAAAATGAAGATCAGGGTCTTGACTGCTGATGTCCCCTTTGTTCTCATTAACAGGGAGCTGGCTCAGTTTTTCCTGAATTTCTCCAGGTCACTGCTCCCAACCTGCGCTTTCAGAGCTGTGCCCTCGGAGGCTGCGAGCTGGGGAGGAAGGGGGAAGGAAGGTAGCTCTGCTACCTGTATAGCCACCTGCCCAGCAGAAGGTCTGGTGGAGGCTAGAGGAGTGGATGGCTGGGTGGGTGGATGATAGATGGATAGATGTATGGATGTATGGAGGGATGGATGGGTAGATGGATAGATGGTTGAGTGTATGGATAGATAAGAGATGGATGGATGGATGGATGGGTGGATGGATAGATGACTGAGTGGATGGATTGATGATAGAGATGGATGGATAGATGGACGGACAGTTGGATGGATGGAGAATTACAGTGCCATTCTCCTAAATTGTACAAAAAGCAGGTAAATGTATTTATTTATCAATGACAATACAAGGATTTTTGAAATCTCTAACTTGAAAATAACCTTCCCAAGGCATGCGATTTCTGAGAAATTCCCAGGGTGCCTTCGGTACGCCCTGTGTGCCCCCATGACTTCCCGCTCACGCCACCTCTGAGCTCCTCACCGGAGAGCACCCCGGACAGGCACCTTGAGGATGCACACTGCTCCGTGGCACGTCCCTGACCTTTCTGGGAAAAGCAACGCCAGCCCTCCCCCCATCCTCTCCCGGCTGTAAAGCTCTCCCTTATGGACCGGACGTTCCACGACTGAGTCTCTCAGCGGATCCTGGCGACCACTGTGGGAACCCATTGACAGATGGGGAAACTGAGGGTGAGGAGAGACAGAGGCTGGTCCTGAGCTCTCGCGATCAACTGTGCCAGAACAGACGTAGCCGAGGCTGCGTCTGGGTCCAGCACTGGGCTGCCTCTCTTCCCACCAGGCAGCCCGGCTCCCAGATCCGGCTCCGAGGTGTGGGCCGCAGCCCGGCGGGCGGCTCGGCTCTGGGTGGGCCGCCCTGGTCGTCCAGCTGTTGCAGCCTGAGGGGGGACGGGGTCAGCGCCAGGCACTATATCTGGCTCGGCCCTGGAATGCGACCCCGGCAAGGTCACCCTCCAATGGGTGGGCGCTAAGTATAGAGCTGGTTGCTCATCTTTCCGGGTCCTCAGCCCCCAGGGAGGCAGGAGGCCTCTGAACCCATCTAGGGGTTCAAAGGCCCGCGCACAGCAGCTGAAGCCCCGTCACCCGGGCTGGTCCTCCTTCATCAGAGGGGCCGCCCGGGCTGGGGCTCAGGGGCCGGGCCCTGGGTCCCGGCTTCACCCTGGCAGGGCCGCCCTTTCGGGGGGACAGGTGGGGAGTGGGCCAGGTCAGGGCGAGCAGAGTGGTCACCTGTCCTCGCCAGCTCTGCGAAGACAGGGGCGGCGGCCAGCCCCACCCTGAGAGGCTCCGGTTTTTTCACTCAGCACTGTTTATCGAGCACCTTTGACTCTTCGATCTGTCTACTTCTACGCAGAAGGCACTCGACTCCCAGAATGTTACCGTGTTTTTATTATTGTGTAACCACCAGTCACTTCTTCATCTTCCCAAACGGACACTCCGTCCCCATGGAACACACACCCCTCTCCCCTGCCCCAGCCCGTCTATGCACATGGCTCCTCTCGGGACCTCCTCCGAGTGGACTCACACAGGATTTGTCCATTGTGACCGGCTTATTGAACATCAAACGTCCTCACGGTTCATCCACCTGCAGCAGGTCCGAGTTCCCGTCCTTCCTAAGGCTGGGTGACGTTCCATCGTGCAGATGGACCACATCCTGCTCATCCGTCCGCCTGTCGGTTTCCACCTTTTGGTTCTTGGGGACAGGCCTGCTCTGCACGTGGGCGCGCACGCCTGCGGGACTTCGGCGGACGCAGCCGCTCCAGGCAAAGACCGAGACCCAGGGCGGTTTGGAGGAGCGTCAGGGCAGGCGCTCACAGCTGTCCTCGCGATGCAGGGCTTTGTTAGGATTTTACACAAAGCACACCCCTCTTCCTCTTCCTCACACGCCCGCACCATACATCCACATGCAACCAGATCACACAGACACACGTACCCTCGTGTGCGCACACACAGATGCCTGCAGACAGGCCCCGAGGTCACGGACACGTGCCCGCACCCAGGCTTCCAGGTGCATCAACCTTCCCTTCCATCCATCCTGTGCCTTTCAGGTCTCACAGCTCTCAGAGCCGGGGACCGAGTGCCTCTGGGGCCCTGCTGCTCCGCACAATCTCACACCTGAAAGCGGCCGTCCTCACAAGCAAACCTGTTCCTGGAAAAACCGCCTGTGACCTACTGCATATAAAAGGAAGAGTAAAACACTTTAATGTTCCAATTACACATCCCCCCCCCCCCACCTTGTTCCCCAGCTGCTCGCTCTTCGGGAGCCTCCTCGGTAGCCAGGACCCCGCACTCAGCTGCTCTTCCCGGCCGATGGGGGCCCCTGGTCAGCACAGACCCACAGTGTCTTCTTCACAGCAGTTCCTCTCCTGAGCCCCTGCTCGGCCCCATCGTCCTGACTGGACGGGCGCTGGTTGGAAAGAATCAGCAGCAGCGGCGGGGACAGTCGCTTACGGAAAGCTGCCCTGCCGGCATGGCCGGCTCTGATGGACGGCAGCAGCTCAGCCACGGGCCGGTCCACACCCGCCACGCCGGGCCAGCCGTGAGCTCCGCGCCCAGGCGTGGGGCCTCCGCTCCGCCCGCCCGCCCGGCAGCTAGGCGAGGCCTCCCCGGCTCCGCTGCCGCTGCCGCCGCCGCGGGGGCTGGGCGCCCTTGCCGGGCGGCCTCGGCAGGCCCCCGTGGAGCCCGGCCCCGCCCTGGAGCAGCCGCACCATCTCGTGGTCCTTGTGGTCCAGCACGCGGGGCAGGAACAGGGAGGACTTCTGGGTGCGGCGCGTCTTGAAGCCCCTGCGGGGCCGGCCCTTGCCGTTGACAGACACGTACCACAGTCTCTCGGCGCTGGGCTGGCGCCGGGCCCCCGGCCCGCTGGGCGCCGTCCGGTAGAGCCGGGAGGCGTAGGTGTTGTAGCCCAGCTCGTGGATCCGCTCCACAAACTCGCACTCCGCGTTGTAGGTCTCCTGCAGGTTTGGGCGGGACGCCTCGGTCAGTGGCCCCGGGGCCGCACGGACATGGGGGTCAGGGCCCCAGGGACAGCTGCTCAGCCTGCCCAGGCCCGAGCACAGCGGCGGCCCCCCACAGCTATGCCCAGGCTGTGCCCTCCGCCCGCGGGCCCCTCCTCCCACCTGTGTCTGGTGAACTTGGCCTTCGGGATCGGCTCAGGGCCTCTTCCTTGGCCAAGGTTTCCTGAGCAGCTTGGGGGGAGGGGCTCTCTCTCCCTGTCTCCCCGCCTGGGCCCCAGCCTCCCTCAGCCTCCAGTGCTAACCCTGGAGGGTGTCCCCAGCACAGGGCCAGCAGGGACAGGGCCTGCCCGACCCCGCCGCCCTAACTGTCTGCGGGCGGCACGGACGTGAGCAGGACTGACCATCTGGACGGCGGAAGGGGAGGGCGCCCCAGAAGGAACAGCACAAACGAGAAAGAGGGAAGAACACCTGAGGCAGGAAGGGAAGGGAGCACAGCCGGGTTCTCCCTGCAAGGCTGAGCCTGGACCCCAGCCCTGGGCCTGGGGCTGGGCCTCAGGAAGCCGCTGGCCTGGCCTCTGTCCCTGCCCCAGGGTAGAAGGAGGGACGACATGCACGGAGCGGGAGCCAGGAGCCCAGCGGGGCCGGCGCTCCCACTCGCAGGCGCTGCCCCCACACCAGGGCTGGGAAGGAGGTTGACTTTGCCGGCAGGATGCAGAGACCCACGTCAGCGTGGGACAGGGCGGTGTCTGGGGTGGGAGTCCCTGCCCTCTGGGAGGCAGGCATCTGGAGGGTCGGAGGGGAAAACTCGGAATTGAAGGAGCTGTCACCTTGCGGGGTCTCCCAGGTGTGTGTGTGTGTGTGTGTGTGCGCGCGTGCGCACCTCATGCTGACTCAGTGGAGGTTTCCGTCCTATCTGCAGGCGGGTGGGCGTGCCAACCCCCCCCCACCACCACCAGGGCTTCCCTCCTTGAACTGTGCCAAGGGGCAGGGCTGGGGGTAGGCAAAGGTGGGCAGAAGGACCTGGTCTCTCCCCTGAGACTGGCCACTCAGCAGGAGCAAGAGAGCCTTGGGGACGGTCCGCCTTTGAGAGCAGGTGACCTGCAAGCCCATTCTCAGGGGCCTCGGGCTGATGGGGGCCAGAAGGACCCGGGAAGCAAGATGTTTAAGCATCAACACCTCTTTCCCAATGGCTTGGAGATAGGGGGCGGGGAGGGGGGAAGGAGTGTAGCCGAATGAGGGTGGGGACACCTCTCCCCATACACCTAGCCCCTCTCTGTTCTTCCACCTACAAGTGGGGGCTCAGGACTCAGAGCTCAGTGGCAGCCTCCACGCTGTACAGCTGTGAGGGCGGCTGCACTGCAGAGAGACCCTCAACGGGACCGGACACGGTGTGGCCCACAGCACGGGCCTGTGCGGGAAGGGCTGAATGCTGACGGAGGGAGCAGGGAGGAGGGACAGGCAGATGGATGGATGAGTGGATAGGTAAGTGGGTGGATGTGGATAGATGAATAGATGGGTCGATGGACAGAGGCCAGTCGCCCCGTCCCCAGGTTGCGATGGTCCGTCCCGGAGGGAGGTGATGAGGCCTGAGACAGGAGGGCAGCGGCACAGGCAGGGGAGTGAGGGGAAGGAATGGAGATCTGGAGGTCTCGTCTAGGACGAGGAGAGGGACTGGAGGTGAGACTGAGAGAGAAAGGAATCCCCCGACTCGCAGCTGACCCTGGGCTGAGAGGGTGGCTCGCAGGGGAGTGAGGGGAGCCGTGGCGTCCAGCTGGGGTGTGCTGCCCGCTGCCAGGGCCTCTGAGCCGCCAGGGCTTACAGGGGTGACCTCTAGCTCAGAGGGGGGCAGGGAAGTGGTGAGCTGGCCTGGGGAGGGGACCGGCAGGCCGATGGCGAAGACCAGGGGCCGGGACAGACAGCAGGGCAGTGGGCTGGCTGGCGGCGCCTCGGATGGAGACACGCCGTGGCAGTGCCAGGGCAGCGCCTGGCTGCCAGGCGGGGAGACCTCTCCTGCCCGTGCTCTGCAAAGCCCCACCTGCTTCCACTGGACCTCCTGGCTGTGCCTGCGGGGAGACCCTCTCTTCCTCCTCCTCCTTTCCCAAAGCCAACGCCATGACACGTGCGGACAGACGCCACAGTGGGCTCTGACCCCCTGGGCTCCCTCAGGCCAGGGTTGGTTCTGCCTCCAAAGCCCAGGGCCTGGGCTGCCCAGGAAAGAGACGGCAGTAGCCTTCGATTCAGCCTTCCCTGCCCCGCTCCGTGATGTCACCAGCGTGGACGGAGGCCCTCGGAGGTCAGACCTGCACCATCCCTGCCGGCCAGCGAGGAGACCTCCTGCCTGGCGTCCCCGCTCTGTGAGGAACAGGCCCGAGTCTTTTCGAGACCAGAAAGTCAGTCCCATTCACCCGGGGGCACCGTGTCCCAGGGCCTGGGAAGCCAGGCTCCCTCGGGGAAAAGGCAGCCGGGCTAGGGGCACGTCCTGCAAACCACAGCCGCTGGGTGAGAAGGGCTGGGCACCGAGGTCCCTCCTCCCGGACACGCCCCTAGCCCGCCCCCTGGGCCTGGGCCAGAGCGCCCGGCTTCTGCCTTTCCCCGCAGCAGAGCGGTGACACATGAGCGATGAAATAATGGGCCTAGAGGCGGGTTTTCCTGCCATTCTTCTGCACGGCGCTGTGCCTGGCGGCCGAAGGGGCAGGAAGTGGTGGTGTGTTTCCCTCTTGCGATGGAGGGAGACAACCGCGTGGAGATGGTCCTGGTTCTGGGGCTGCGTTGCCTAGGCGACGTGCGGACGGAAAACCTCTCATTGCCCAGGAAGGTATCGGCCGAATTGCATGTAATGACTAGTTGGCGGGAGCAAATCTCCTGGTTCCATGTACTTTGCTCCGTGTGTCCCCCGCACCCGCCCGTGGGGAAGGACATGCCAAGGCCCACAGAGTCCCAGGCGGTGGACACACTGGGTCCCCGCGGGTGTGCCTGGGACCCTGGTCCTGTCTCCCTTCCTCTGGGTTCCCTCCCAAGAGCTAGCCGCCCGGCCTCCCGCCTTTGGGGAGAACTGGCCTCCACACCGGTGGCCGGCGGCTCCCTCCGGGCCCAGCCCCCGGGGAGACCGGACTCACCGATGCGTAGAGCCGTCCCCTCTTGTTCATGGCCAGGTACCGTCCAGAGAAGAGCCCCTTGATGGCCACGATGCCCACCTCCACCGCCGTTATCTCCAGGATGCCTGGGGGGGGGGTTGGGAAGGTTCAGCATCCCCACTGCCTCCCACGGGGCACAGAGGGGAGGGGCGAGGGCCGCCAGCCTTGCCCGAGGCTGCAGCACCCCCCCCCCAGGAGGGGGACTCTGGGAGTTCAGTGGAGAGGCATGACTGGGTGGGAGGTGACAGAGTGGGCACCAGGGAAGGGGCTCCAAGGAGAAGAATTCAAACCTGGAGCGGGGGGGGGGGAGGGCAGAGGGGGCGGGAGAACAAAGCTACCATCGCCACACACTGACTCCAGGCCTCCGAGGGCCCGGGAACAGCCCTGCCCGCTGGCTTCCTAGGACTGCTGGGCCCTGTGACCCGCCCAAGACCCGCACACGCGTCTGAGCCCGGATTCAAACTGGGCTGCAGACGCAGCTCCCCTGCCTGGACCGCGGTGCCCTGGGGTCCCGCATTGGGAAAGCGGGGCGCCTTGGGTGAAGCGGGTTCATCATATAATCCCAACACCACCTTAGGGTGCCGCCTAAACCCGCTGGACAGGAGTACCTGTCCCACGGGGTCCGAGGGACACAGGGGCTGGGTTAGACCGGGAGCCACAAAGGGACCCGGGCTGGCTCCCCGCTGCCCTCGGTATGTAAGACAGTTTAACTCGCGCCTAAGTGCTCTTCTGGACACGGGGGCGCTTTTCCTTGTGGGCAGGGGCAGCAAAGGCAGAGGGGGGGGCAGGCATTGTCCCGAATGTGTCCATGGGCGCTGGGAGCCGGGGGTACCCTCTCCAGGGGGCCCAGCTCGTGACCCGGCCCCCGGCCCTCAGCAGGGACCTCAGAGCAGCTCCGGACCGCGGAAGAGAGCGCCGCGCGGGCGGGCAGGCTGCTCAGCGCGGATGAGTGGCGCTGGGACCAAAGAGATGCCGCCTGGGTGTTACCCCTTAAGGTCACCACGGAGCTGGATGCTCTGAGGTCGGAAGGGGAGCGGGGCTTAGCAGGAACTGGGGGCTTAGTGAGAACTGGGGTGTCCCTGCGAGGCGGGCACGGCACCTCCGTGGCGGGGCCCCGCGCACAGGGCAGGCGACGCGACCGTTGGCAGCGCGGCTCCGGGCGAGGCGGCCCCCGAAAACGCCCTCGCGGGGCTGCGGCTTCCCCGAGGAAGCAGCGGTTCGCCGCCGCCGCTCGGACCCACGGAGCCGCCCTCTCCGCCCCCCACGCCCGGCAGGAGGCCTCGGCCGCCCTCCCACGCTCCCCGCCGCGGCCCCACTAGGCCCCGGGCCGGGGTCTCGGGCTCCCCGCCGGGCGCACCGCGGCGGCTCCGTGGCTCCTCGCCCGGTTCTGGCTGCGGACCCTCCAGGCGGATGACCCTCGGGGCTCCCAACCTGGACCCCGAGGCCCTGGCGGTCGCTCGGTGGTCAGGGACAGAGACTCCGAGGCTGCAGGTTCCACCCGGGAAAAGGTCCAGCGGGGGCGGCCCGGGAGCCGGCCACTCCCGAGGGGCGGAGGGGAGGATGCGCGCCCCGAGGCCGGCAGCAGGAGGAGAGGCCGTCAGAACCATCGAGGACGTCAGAACCAACCAGAGGACGGTACACGTCCCGCCCGGTGCCTTTCCTCCGGGGAAACTCAGCGCCAACGTGCTCGGTCGCCGGATTGGGCCAAGCGGGGGGCCCCGGGCCGCCTGCCGCGCGCCCCTCCGACCAGCGGGCGGGCCGGGCCACGGGGCTCGTGGGAGAGGCAGCCGCCCTGGCCCTCGGAGGTCGCGAGTCCCACCCCCAGCGCCCCCTCAAGCTCTTCTTCCGGGCCCGGCGGGGGGCTCCGGCCGCGGGGAGCGTTCCCTCCCCGGCACCCCTTCCCGGCGGCACCCTTCGAGCGCCGCCGCCCCTGCCCGCGCGCCCCTCCCGCCCTCCGCGGGGCCGGCGGCGGCGCGGGCCGCACTCACTGTGGGCGCTGTGCTCCAGGCTGCCGTTGACGCGGCCGCTCGGGAGCAGCTGGAGGTGGAACTTGGTGGCGCAGTAGAGCTTGCGGCGCCGCGGGGCCCCGCCGAGGTGCTCGTAGACGCCGCCGCGGCCGCCCGCATCGCGCCGCAGCCGCGCGCCGGGCCCCGCCGGCCAGCCGGGCTCCAGCAGGCTGAGCAGCAGCAGCCAGATCAGGCCCATCGCGGCATCGCGCCCGCCCCGCGGCGGCGGCGGCTGCAGGCGAGCGCGGCTCCCATGGAGGGGGCGGCGGCGGGGCCGGGCTGGGCGCGCGGGGCTGGCTCCCTCCCGCGCCCGGCGCTGCGGACTCGGGCTCGGCCGCAGCGAGGGGAGGGAGGGAGGGAGGGAGGGAAGAGGAGGGGAGGGGAGGGGCGGGAGGGTTGGGGAGAGGGGGGTGTCGTGGGGAGAGACAGGGAGAGAGAGAGAGAGGGAGAGGGAGAGAGAGAGGGGCAGGAGAGAGAATGGATCTCCTCTAATTTTCACCCAGGCTCGGGTGAAATTTCCGTTGCTGCGCAAAACGCTGTAAGAAAAGACGGGGGTTCGGCAACAAAAGGGCGACGTGGTCCCCCGGGCGGAGGCGCGGGAGGGGCGGGAGGCCGCGCGGGTGGGGGGCCCGGCGGGCGCGGGGTCCGGGCCGGCGCCGCCCGCGCGCACTCGCCCCCGCGCACCGCCGCCGCCGTCGAGCCCCGGCTCTGCTCCGCCGCGCGCTCCGCGCCCCCGCCGCGCCTGCCGCGCTCCGCGAGGTCCCTCCCCCGCGCCGCCCCCGCCCCGGACCAATTACGCCTCCGAAAATTATAGACCGGGGCCTGGAGGCGGCCGCCCCGGGCCCCGCCGCCCCCGCCCGCCCCCCGTCAATCCCCGGCACAATGGGGCGCCGCCTAGGACTGCGGTCCGCGGAAACGACTCGCGGGGAAGTGGCGCGGACAGACGCCCATCGGAGGCGGCGCACAAGGCGGGGGCCGCGGGGCGCGATGCGCGGGGGGGGGGCGCGGGGGGAGCCCCGGGCCTGTGTCTGCGCCCGCCCGCCCGCCCGGGAGCCCCGCCGCGGCGCGGTCTCAGGCGGCCCACGGGGACGGCCGGCCGAGAGACGCTTTATCTTGTCTCGCACCCCACCCATCAGATCCGGAAGCGAAGGTTTTCGCACGTGGGGTGGGGGTGGGGGGTCTCAGAGGGTCTGGTCCCGGGGCCAGGCCGGAGAGGGGGCTGGGAAGGAGAGCGGAGAGCCGGAGAAAGGGGCTGAGAGGCAGAGAGCAAGAGAGACAGCGCAGAGAGAAAGACAGCAGGAGAGAGGGACAGAGACCAGGAAGCAGACATGGAGACTGAGACCAGGGAGGGGTCCCCAGAGAAAAGCAGGAGAGGGGCAGTGGCCTCAGAGAAGGGAGAGGAGAGAAGAGAGGGGGGGTGGGAGGAGGGGGTACGGAGGCCCTGCCTGGTGCGTCAGGGGCAGCAGGGTAGATGCCCCCGATGGCCCTTAGACTGGGTGTGGGACCCTCGCCCCTGGGGACCCCAGTGAAGAGGGGCTGTGGATAGAGTGCTGGGCAAAGCCACACCCTCACACCCTTCTCAGTTCCCCAGGCTTCTGTTCCCCACAGCCCTCTGGCCTCTGCCTCCCCCCACCCCCCCAAAGCTCCCTGGCCTCTGTCCCCCACAGTCCCCTGGCCTCTGTCCCCCCATAGGCCCTGGCCAGCGGACAGCAGATACTGACACAGAAGCTCAAGCAAGGGGCTTGTTCCATGGCAAGGGGGCGGGACAGGCAGGGATGGGGACAGACCCTGTGAGATCTCTCGTGGTCTAGCCACAGTCTTAGCTCCAGGTTCGGGGCTTCTGGAATGACCCATCTCCTCCACCTGCATCAGGATTTGGGATCTTGGCCCTGCTCAAGGGAGGGGCAGGCTTGCAGGGCAAGGGGACCCCCTGAGCTGCAGGAGCTGCTGCACCCACATTTCTCACAGTGTGGCCTCGCACAAGGTGCCCTCAGTGAGCCCACCCTGGCATGGTCAGTGCCAAGGGCCCTGGGGGTGCCACCCCGGTACCTCAGTTCCTAGGGAGGTTGTTCCAGGCCAGGCTCTGTCTGCCACCAGAAGGTCTAAAGACCAGGCCACCGATGGCTAGAGCCCCAGACTCCTGGAGCCTGTTTTGCTGGGGACAGAAAACAGACTCTGGGGACAGAGCTGGCAGGGGACTGGCCCATCCACCCACAAAGCTGGCCTGAGCCTGGGTTTCCTGTGAGAGCACAGAGGGGCACGGTGAGGGCTGGGGCGCCCTCCGGCCATCAGTTCTGCTCTGCTCCAGACTCAGGCAGGTCCCTCCTGAGGCGGCGTCGGTGTGAAGAAGGGAGAAGAGAGGGAGAAGGGGCCTGGGGTCCAGAGAGAGCCTCGGTTTCAGAGGGTGAAGCAGGCAAGACCTGCGAGGTCAAGGGGAGGGTAGGATTCCCGATCCCCTTTGCTGTGTAGGCCTCAGCCTCCTGCCCTGGACTCCCCTCGGGAAGATGGGGAGGAGCCAGGACATTCTGTGGCAGAAGCTCACTCAGGGTTTGCAGCTTCGCTCCTCCGCACACCGCCACAGTGGCGCCCTGCCTGTTGTGGTCAGCCGTGGGGACCCCCAAGTGGACCTGCCCCCGGAACCGGGAGAGGGGCTTCCGTGGAGCGGGGTGGCGGGAGGCGGGAGGTGTGCTGCCTTGGTTCACTGCTGTGCCCACAGTTCCTGGGGGGCAGCCCCTCAGTGCCCACTCCCTGAACGAAGGGGAGAAGGAAGGAACAAAAGAGCCAATGGCCCCGCAGCCACTTCCGTGCCCCGTGGACTTGGCCACGTAGCTCCTCTGAGATGCTGGTTCCTGGCACATACAACGCCTCGGACACAGGGTGAGGCTCCGCAGAATGGCCGGCCCAGAGCGGGCCCGTCGCCAGGGTCCGGTGTCCGATGGAGCCGTGACACCTCTGAGGCTGGGACAGAGCCCTCATCACGGTTCTGCGGGGACGGTGGGCATCCACGGTGTGTGGTCCCTTCCAGTGTGACTTTGCCAAGACAGCCACGCTCGCTGGACCGTGTGGGCGCCTCTGTTCTGGAGCACCCTGAGGTCAGAGGGAGCTGTCTCAGGCCCCGCAGCAACCCCACCCTGGGCTGGCATTGGGGGGCACTCGCCCACCTGCCTGCACCCCCAACCCACTGCCCATCGCCTCTCCCTCTGGCTCCAGGCTTCACTCACTCTCCTCTTGATCTGAATCTCCCTGACCCCCCTAAGGCCTTGGCTGGGCTCTGGACATCACAGGGCTGAGGCGCAGCCAAGGGAGGGGCACCTGGTTCCGGGCATCTTCCTGGCCGGGCATGGATCTCATCACAAAGCCCTGCTGGGCCGGCTGGGCTGAGGTACCACACACCCGCCCCACGGCGACCTCCGCCCCTCCCCTCCAATGCGGAACCAGGTGGGGGGTGTAATGTGGTAATAGCGACCCTGCTAATTGCTTCCAAATGGTCACTGTAGCCATTTGACTAATTGGTCTCTTCCAGACCCCGGCCTGGACACCCCCAGGCCCGGCCCCAGCCCACCTCACCAGGATTCCCGAGACCTCCGCTCGGGGGGGCCCCAAACCCCCTCCCAGCCTATCTGGTACGTGTGACCCCGCCCTCAGGTTCAGACTTCAGCTCTCCAGAGCCTTCCCCAGGAGAGGGAGCCGAGGGAGGGGATGGAACACAGAGCAGGGTCCTGTGATGGGGGGGGGGGGCGGTCCTAGCCTGCCCACAGGGTGACTGTCAGAGGGAGTGCTGGCTTCAGGCCCCAAACTCTGTCTAATGTGTCCTCCTCCCAAAGCAGTGGGAGAGAGCCCAGGCCTCCATGCCACCTGGAGCCAATGGGCCTTTGGGAGGAGAAACGGAGGCTCAGAGACCTGAAGAGACTTGTCCGGGCTCCCCAGCTGCGAGGTGAGGCGAAGCCGCTGGGACCTCCATCTGTCGGCTCACCTCTGCCACCTGATCACTTCATCCCCACAGGCCGCGGACGGTCCCGGGCCGCGCGGCAGGCTTTTTTCCGTCTCTGCCGTTGCTTCTGGCGAAGTGAGAAGCCGTGGGCACCAGGTGTGGGACTGGAAGCAGCATCACCACACACAGCCCGGCTAGGTCTTTGCTGGTGGGTCGACCAGCTGGCTGCCCTCCCCAGCAAGGCCACCCACTCCTAAGGGCAGAGCCTGGTCCCAGCACCTGACAGGAACCGACTGGTTAAGGCGGCACAGCTCCCTCCTGGGCTCCCAGATGGCACCAGTGAGGGGCTCCTTTAGTGCCCGATGTCTCAGGAAGCCAGGGCTGGACCACTGCCTGTGCCCAAGGACAGTGAGGGCTGCTGGGTGCAGAGAGGAACAAGGACCCCCTCCTCTATGTCAGCCGGACCGTGGGCTGCGTCCAGCTCCCAAATGGGGTCGCCGACCAGGAGCACCCCCGGATCATGGCCTGGCAGTCCTGAGAAGGGCTATTGGAGTGAGCCCCAGGGCAAAATCGCCCCCTGCCCCCAGCCTGCCTGGCCTTTGCCCGTGCTGCTCACTCCACCTGGGGCACCGGTTGCCCTTCCCTTCTAGAAACATCTGCTGTTCCTGAAGACCCTGTGCAGCACCCCTGGACGCTCCCACCGCCTCACAGAGCGGGTCCCCCTCCCTCCATGCGCCCCAGTCCAGACAGGACGGCGAGGGGACGGGCCAGGAAGCAGCCGGCAGGGTGCACGCTTGCTTCTGTTCACGAGAAGGGTCTGTTCAGCACCCCAGGGTCTCTGTGCTGCTTGTCCCCACCCTGGCAGCACCCCCTCCCCTCCTCTGCGCCCATTTTTGGACTTGTTTAGATTCTCCTTGTCCTTGGTGATCCAGCTGAGAGAGACCCTCCTGGGAGGGGGTGTCTCTGCATGCCATCCCCTCGGAGACTCCCTGGTGGAGTCCCTCCTCCCAGGTCCCTGCATCCAGCTCTGCTTTCTCAGTGCCCGCTCTCTGGGCTTGGCCTGAGTCAATCACTCCTAAATCATGAAAGAGAGAGGGAGGGAGGAAAGAAGGAAGGGAGAGAGAGAGGGAGGGAGGGAGCTCCCCAGCATCCCTTGTCCTGATAATGTTGGACGTTTGAATGAAAAAAACGGAGAAGCTGTAGGGTTGGTAGTGATGTCTGGGAGAAGAAGAGGCATGAAAGGGGTGAGAGGGAGGAAGATGGTTCTG